CGTTCATGAAAACATTTTTGAGCGACTGTTTAAAAGATCGTATATCTAATGTGAAACCTCCCTTGACGTCCGCTTCATTGGCATTTTCAATTTTCAAATGCCTTTAACTCAGAAAATAAAATTCAAATAACTTTTCTTTCTTCAAAACAATTATTAGCATCATATTTCCCTTTTGTTAAAATGATTTTCCAAAAGGTTTCATGTGCACTTTAATCAATAAATGTAAAATTTTGGAAAATTATTGAAGTGGATAAACAAGAACTCAGGGTCCAATTGCCCGTTCCGAAATTCAAAAGGAAACTGGGAGCGAGTGTGAAAATATTGCATTCATCCAAAACTGCTCCTCGCCACATGAAAGAGCACACTAAAATAAGTCTTCTTGTCAAGTTTGAGTATATTTGGTTAAATACTCACCGAGTAGGAATTTTTTCAAAATTATAAAAATAAGGGACGGGTCATAATTTATTTCGGAGAGGGGGGAGGGGATGGGGGGTGGAGGAGAAATTGGGGGCCCCTGAAATAATTTCGCTGGAAAATATAAGGGTCTTCAATGTTTAAAATCATAGTTTAGGGGGTCTTGAGAGTAAACGAAATCAATATTTTTTCAAATATAGTAGGCAACCACTSTTGTAGGCGACCACGACTACCTTTGGGATTGAAATTGTAAAATCTTTCATTGTTTTTCCTCTCCCGTAAGCGATCACCCTCGACTGATGCAACTAAAGGCGTGTGTTTAATTCACTTAGAGCGGATTTCGTATGAGTGGGAAACGGACGGTACTGTACTGTGACCGTAATCGTACTGTAACCAAATTCTAGTGTCCCATTGGTCCACAAAAATTGTGCAGGGCAGGTCCGGTAGCTGTGCGTTCACCGTGCGGTAATTTCTACCGTACGTTTCCCACTCATACGAAATTGGTACGAAATTGACTTTATGGAGCGGACACAAATTACATTTCCGTTTTTAAAGGGACATGGTCCACTAGCATGCAATGCGGTCGTGTTTTAGATTTTTCATATATGGAAAATGAGGTGACTTATCCATTTGCAATCCGTTTCCATCCACCGGATTAAAGGCCGAATCTTAAGCATCTCCATTCATATAGGATATTTTCAAACATAAACAAAAGCTCGAAAAGGATGCTGGCTGACCATGTCCCTTTAATAGAGTACATGTACAAACCGTAAAAGCGTACTATTACTAGTGAGCAGCACTAACGATAACTCTTTGAAAAGACGTATTTTCATTTCTTTTGCGTTTCGTCTCTTAACAGAGACTTCTTAAGGGATTACATGTAATTTTGTACAACTATAAATGAAACCTCCATGGGGAAGTCACTAAAAACTTACATATGCTGGTCTGGAACGTGAATAACAACGTTGTGGCTAATGTGTTATTTTGTAAATAGTTAAATTGGGTACGTACCATGCGATTCATTTTTAAATGAAAAAGCACGTTTTAAATGTTATATATTACTGTTCTATCATCATTTCTCTCTCTTGCCA